GAGGAATAGCTTGCACTGTCGGAAAAGACAAGGACGCTGTTAAAAAATGCTGGAATGCCGTGTTGTAAACAACAGTAATTTTTACTTCTACTATGGTGTAGTGTTGGATGCATGCCGTAGAGGTCCATGCTGCCCCCTACAGTTTGGGAGAATATTGGCTCACCGCAGAGACAAGCCGCATGAACTATAAACGCTGCGAGTTGTGAAGCGCGTTCCATCCGCGAGCCGCATCACCAAGCGGAAAGTGAATGCGTCAAGCATAAACCAAGATTTAGGCCCGGCTACTTGGGCTGAAGCCCCGAATCTTTAATGAAAAGCCCCGGATCTCAAACGTGGAAGTAACATGCAGTAGCAAAGTCCAACAGAGAGGGTGCAGCTAGCAGTAGTTTGTATACAGCCTGCCTGAGCCTCCACCACTTAAGAAGAAGCCCTTCAGCAGCTGGTGTCGGTACAAGATCTGCTCGGGGTCCGTCTACTGCTGATGACGTGAAAGTAGTTGATTGGCTCAACATGAATGTGACAAAAGGAGATTTTCTAATAGCAAAGGCTGCAATTTGGCAGCAAGTGGTTAGCGCAATGCTAATATACGTGGGAAAACCCATAGGAATGCTAATGCTAATATCACTGATTACATTCTTACAAATTATGAAATAGAAACGTACCAAATGATTACATTTGGAGTCTAATAGAAAGTAAAACTACCATCAATCAAATAAGTACAGACAGGTATTTTAGTAAAGCCAGAAAACTTTTAACTCCAGTTTTGGCTAGCAGCTATGAGCGTTAGTGAACTACGCATGGACAAGACGTCAAAAACTCTAAACACAAAATACTTCAATAAACGGGACACTTCTTTCCTGCAAATACAATTTCACAGGTGTTGCTAATGTTGAGGGTCTGACCTCATGAGGAAATTACTATGCAGTGATTTTCTCCAAAATGACTGTGCTTAAATTGCTTTGAAAAGCAAATAATCACATCAGCGCCAAGAAACTTCATTTCCCATTATGCTTTGCACACGGAAGCATTGTGATGACGTCACCGCCTAATACCAGAAACACATTCTGTGCATGTGTGGGAGTCACAGAGCTTTCCCGCGAACTCAGACTATAAATCATCAGGAAAGACAAAGAAACCTTGTTCTTTTGCCCAGGATACCTGGCGGCAGTGCTGGACTGACCATAGGGCATAGCGGGCAACTGCCCGCTGGGCCGACCCTTTCATCTTTTATGGGCCGGTGTCTGTTTTTTTTTCTTTCTTTTTTTTTCCTGGCCTCTAGTTGTTGCGGACAACTTGCCCGCGCCGCCCCACGCGACGCCTCTTAAAAGTTGGTGGATTGGCCAATTGGTAATAATACACTCTGGGCTGGACCAATAGCCAGAGGTCTGATGCACCCGCCAGTTGTTTGTGAATCTCAGTAAACAGACAGACGAGCTTAACAAAATGGAGAACAAAAAACGGAAAGGAGAAGCGGAGAAAATTCGACTAAAAAAGAAACTGGCCCTTCAGGCTGATGCTGGCACATGTGTTAAAATCTCACAGTTGTTTGGTAGTGAAGGTTCAAGTAAAATCAATTTAGGAAGTGATGGAGCCTCAGCCCAGCGACAGGTTGGAGAAGAAAAGAGGGAGGAGGAGGAGAAACCCGAGCCGGTGTTGTGCCATAAATTGACTCGCTGCCAAAAAATGATTAGCCACCGCGGGATCGCGCACGGTTAGGTAATTGCATTTCTAGACAAAATTCCCCAGGATTTCGCCCTAAAACTCAGCATATCTAGCAATATGGACATTCAGAAAGCAAAGATAACCTCTTCCGGTACTTAAACAGATGTTTATCGCGGATATTAGTGTGGCAGTGTTTGTGGCACCCTGCGCGGGAGCACGAGGACGTGCTTGTGGAAAGAGGGAGGAAGATGTGGCAGTGTGAGCATCCACAATGTCCCGATAGATTGTGCGCCCTGGCTACTTGGCCAAGGAGATGTCCCTTTGGCTGACTGGTTAGAGCGTATGACTCTTACTCGGGAGTCTGGGGATCGAATCCCGCCCGGGCACTCCTTTCTGCACCTTGCCACATTAGTTTTTCCAGTTCGGAAGTTGTTTTAAGTGTTGCTATTTGTCTTAAACGTTCACAATGAGGATATATTAATCCTTTTTGCAATATTTGCGATTGAAAGATGGTTTGTGCCACAAACTCTGTGGTAAGAACTGGCTTTCTTTATGTTACAGCCTTGATACTAAAAAAATAAATAAACAATGTAAAATGGCACCCTGTATTGAATGTAAACGTTGTATAAATGGAAATAAACAATTCTCCAGCGATTTAATTTTTTCCCCTTCCTTTCTTTAGTCCGCTTGACATGGAGCCACAGTTAACTAGTTTGGGGCACATTTTTACTTGAAAAAAAGTATTTAAAATGATCAAGCTTTGGCTTTACAATGACACTGTGTAGGTTGCTATCTATACATTACGTTGCTCTATTTAAAAGTAACAAGATAAAAGCACTTCAGCACATAAAATCAAGATTGTCACTTGCCAAATAGACTACACCCTCCCGTTTACCTATAAGAAATGCCTCAAAATATCTTTAAATTCTTTATTGATGATTTAATTGTAGACAACTAAAATGGCATTTTACTTGCCAAAAAGTGATTGAATCGCTAAGATTTTCATGGAGGCTAAAATTGACCAAATAAGGGTTTTATGTATTATCTGTTGACGTTACTGTACTCATACTGCCTACTGTGTCATCAAAAACACCCCAAAAATGGCAAAAAAAAAAGAAAAAAAAAAAGAAGAAGATAATTTCCCTCGCCAAAAATTGATTACAGTGTCCTGGTCACCTGTAAAGGGTTACATTTACCTAAATATTACTTTATTTATTATTTCTTGATGTTATTGGTGCCATCACAGGATGCCGGGTGTCTTTCACATTCATAAACACCTCAAAAATGGCAACAAATGATCATTTCCCTTGCCAAAAATTGATTACAGTGTCCTGGTCACGTGTAAAGGGTTAAATTGACCTAAATATTACCTTATTTATTATCTCTTGATGTTATTAGTGCCATCACAGGATGCTGGGTGTCTTCCACATTCATAAACACAGAGTCCTGGTCACCCATAAAGGCTTAAATTGGCATAAATATTACTTCATGTATTATGATGCTGGGTGTGTTCCACAATCATATTCGAATAAACGTGAAAATATTCTGTCCGAATATCTGTTTCTTGTTATAAATATAACAGCTAGAAGGATTTACAGTTAAAATAGGAGAAACACGTGACTCCCCAGGAAGGGTCGTAACACCACTTGCCTCATGCACATAAGTGAACAAAACAAAGCAGCATGGAGACACTCCGTCTCCAACCACCTCTCAGGCAGCAGCCTGCACTCCCAAGTTCTACACGTCACCAGAACATAACCAACCGCAACACAATAAAAGCAGTGTTATACAAAATGGAAGGCCTGTAGTGTTTATTCTCTTACAGTAACAACTTATCAATTTTTTGGAGGAATTTATTTGAGAATTTTTTGGTTTTTATTAATTGTGCAATAGAAAAGTAATCGCTAGATTAATCATCTAAATAGTCATAAGAATAGTCGACTATTCGATAAAATAATCGTCAGAATAATCATTTTAAAAATAATCAGTTACCCCCAACCCTACTTTTTAGAATACCAGGATAGGAAGGATGGTGTAGGTTTACGTTTATTAGATTGATACATAAATATTACCAATAAGAAAGTGTACGTTGGTGTGTGTCAGAAACAGCATAAGGCTTAATGTCTTTTCCCAAAAAAACAGGTGATGGGCCGGTCTCCAGTCAAAATGCCCGGGCTGAATTTTTGTCCCAGTCCAGCCCTGCCTGGCGGTAAGGACACGCTTGTCGAACGCTCCGACTCCCTTGAGCACGCGGAAGCTCTAAGTGCCCAAGATGAGGACACAGAACTGCGGAGGAAAGCAACAACTCCATCCAGCTCTCAGAGACGCTGTAAGTTCTAACTCTGCACAGAAAGAAACTGCTGTCTCTGTCCAGCCCGTGGAGAAACACTTGTGGGGCCAAAACAACGGAGAAAGCATCAAACCGACGGACGACGCCAAACTGCGGAGAAACACGGAGAACCGTCAAATCAAAACAGCGGGGGACGCCTTGCTGTTCTGGTGATCAGAAAACTCATTTCTCTCTCTCCTTTTCTTCTCCCGTTTCCTCTATAGTCCAGAATAAGCAATAGAACTGCGCTATTGCTTAAAAAGTAGCTTCGTGTTTTCCTCTTTCGTCCCAAACACGTCCGTCGGGTCATTTTGAAAGAATAAACTGCTTATTGATCATTGTTTGGTATCTTTAAATGTTTTCTGCTTGGCCACGTGGTTAAACTAAAAGATATTATTCGTGATTAATCTTTTGTGTTGTTTCATGATCCTTTGAAATGTTTTGAGTGATTTAAGGTTAAGTTACTTATGATTCTAAGTGCCTTGGAAGTTAAAGTGCAAGTTGCCACTCACACTTTAGCCAGACAAAGGGGTCAGCCATCTTGTATACAGACTCCATTTTAGGAACACACACACACCTACATACACACAAAACACCTTGAACATTATTTTGAATATACATCCTTTTATTATATCACATGGTTATTATTCATTTATGCCACTGTTTATTCATTTGACAAATTGTTAATTAAACGTTATAAAATTCAGATTTTCGTCTCCAGTAGCTTTGTTGTGTCGAAGAGAAGTCTCTGCTCCGAGGATTCTACGAACTTCAAGAAAGATTGATAAGAGTTTTGGATTCATTTCCCTTTCTAATTAAAGGGTGGTGCCCCGGAGATATCTAAGAATATCTTAATTAATTAATAAATCAGTAAATATTCCCATATTTACAGAATTTATTGAAGAATCCAAAAGTAAGTTAACGCTTACTAATTGTTCGCTCCTAATAACCCCAACACTAATACCAATGATCCTTCAAGGGATGTGCTCAAAGAGTTCAACATTATGAATAAAATATAGTGTTTTATTTTACAAATACCATTATAAACACAAACTTACGTTGTAAGAAACATTATTTTAATAACGAAACTGATAAATTCTTTCCAACACTATAGATGTGTAGTGTATTTTGTCCGAGTGGGTTTGGCGTACTTTGACGTCATCGGCAGTCGAAGGACCCCGAGCCGATCTTGCACCCGAGCAGATCCTGGACCGACACCGGCTTCTTCTGCAGTGCCTGTTTTTTTCTACAGTCTGCCTGAAACGCATGAGTGAAGATGGACATAAGGACGTTTTTTAGACCAAAAGTACGGCGACAGAACCCCAGCTTTGATGAGACTGGTGTTGACTCAGGTTTGTGAGTCTTATTTGAAAATATTTGTTGTGCTGCTGGTTTGCCTAAAGTTAGCTTATCAGGTAAAGTTGCTGGAGAAAGAAAGGGAATATTTACTATCATCTCACACTAAACACCAACAGGAACAATACTCTGCCCTGAATATGCTTAATATGTAGCTTCAGAATAAAAATTATGTGGTACAAGACAAATATATATGTTGACTAGTGCGTGTCACATGTGTGTGCGCGCGTGCGTGTTAAGCCCCAGATCTTCTTCAGTCCTTAATCCGCCCCTGGATCTGAGCATGTTATGAGTTTAATTTTATTTTTGTCCTCATTTTACACATCGCATTATGCTTTAAGACCCTCTGGCCTGTTTGTAATGTTCCTTGTGCAGGTTGCACAAGTGTTTTCTGTACCTATTGTCATGTATTATTCTAATATAGTTTATTAAAAAAATAATGATAAAAGGTTGAAGAAGGGGGTTTCCCCTACGTCATATCAAAGAACCACAGGGACTTCCCTCCTCTTAAGCCAATGAAAACGCAGAATTCTGAGACAGCTCCCTGGCCGCGATTTGGAATTGTCCAAGGAAGGTTCCGCCTTTCTCACCCCTGATTGGCTGGAAGGGCTCTCCTACGATTGGCTATTTCGTGTTGGAAAGAGGAAAGATTTCACGCACTGAGCGTTTTTTAGATTACAGCCAGATCTTGAGTTTTTTTTTAAGAAAATGTGAACTTGTTGCTATAATAAACATCCATTCTTGTTTTACAACATACTAGTTTCACTTTCTTTCATAAAAGAACCCGAAAAACGTCAAATGTGAACCTGTAATAAATCTTGCTGCATTTTATCACACTGTAGACTGACTTTTTATCTGTTGCCTCTATTGGGGTTATCTTATTACTTCATTATTTGGCTATCCTATGTTTTCACTAACAGGTTAAGGCTGTTTAGTAGTCAGAGCACATCTCTTGTCATCAGATTAAATTTGTATCATTTAATCAATAATTAAGTAAAAGCTGATTATGATTTAGACCTGTTTTTCACCAGCTTTCATTATTTTAGAAAAGAAACAGACCGGATGCACACAGCTGGGCAGAATAAGGCAGTTTTATTAAATTTCATACCCAGGTAAGGAACATATGTTTATCCTGTGTACTCTAATGCTTGAGAGCCAACAGATGTGAAGTAAGTCCAACAGTTTGATTAATGCAACAAGATTATAAATTAACGTTTTTTATAAAACATAAAATATGCTGCAAAACAAGACAGAATGGTTATTATAGCGCTAAGTTCACTTTTGTTTATTTTTTTTTTACAAAACTCCCCAAAACAGCTTTCTGCTGGTGGCAGAAGGACAGTCTGCTCTTAGCAAGGAGAGTCGATTTGCTGCTAAATGAAATAGCCAATCGTAGTAGAGCCTTTCTAGCCAATCAGAGGCGAGAAAGGCAGGATCTTCCTTGGGCATCCTAGAAATCCAAATCACGCTCCCTGGCCACTGCGATCCTCACGCAAAAGTAACAGTGGAGAAAATGGCCGCAGCTGAGTGTCAGAATTTCCTAGTACAGTTTCATCAGCAAAACAAAACTAAGATTTATGCTCAGTTTTACGTTTTCATTTTCTTAACCAACATTTTACTGTTTAATATTCACTCATTCATTTTTCTCTGCACTCTCAGAATCTTTAAAGTACAAGAAAAACGTTGGGTTGAAATGAGAAAATCCTTCTGATAGAGAAAACCACGGACTTCTGCCATCGCCGTGCTGCAATCCCACCTAAAGTCTCTGTAAGGAACTTTCTGGATCTTTCTGGTTTGTTTTGTCATCAGAGACGTTTCAGTCCAGCGACGTCTCGCCTGCGTGGGCCTTCGTGTGACGGTTCAGACTGCAGACGGAGCCGAAACCCTCTCCACACGCCACACAGGCGTACACCTTCTCACCTGTGTGTGTTTTCATGTGACCCTTTAAGCCGTGCAGGCAGATGAATTCTTTTCCCGCACGTGTCGCAGACGTGCGGTTTCTCGTCCGTGTGGGTCTTCTTGTGGAGGTTCAGCTTCGACGCGTTAACAAATTTATTCCCGCACAAGCTGCAGACGTACGGCCGCTCGCCCGTGTGGATTCTCATGTGGATCTTCAGAGTGTCCGTGTATTTAAAGTTCTGACAACACGTCCCACAGGTGTGCGGCTTATCGTCTGAGTGGCTCGACAAATGCTTCTTAAAACTAAAGGGTCGGAAAGGCTTTTGCCACAGATGTTACAAAGGTACGGCTTCTCGCCGTTCTCGTGTGCAGCAGAAGTTTATCACTTCTCCGGAACATTTTCCCACATGTTCTACAATCAAAGGGCTTCTCTTTGGTGTGCGTTTTCACGTGGAGTCCGTAAGAAGCCCGATAAGCAAAACCTTTCCCGCAGACTTCACACGAAAACCCTTTGGCCCCCGTCTTACGGTCACGCTTCCTCTGGGATTCCTCCTTAGAGGCGTCTCTGCAGGTGTCTTCACGTACAAGCTCTCCTCTGAAGCCCCTCGCACTGAGAGTCTCCGAGCTGGTACTCGTCTCCTCCTTCAGCACAAGTTGCTCTCCACCCTGACTGGTGCAGGGCTCCTCTTTAACCTGTGAAGGTTCTAGACCATCCTCCTCCAGACCGGAAGGCTCCTCCTGGTCAGAAAGGTGCTCATCAGGGAGAACCTCCTTTTCCTCCTCCTCCTCCCGTTTAATGCCATCTTATTGGAGGAGCATACAAAAAAAAGAGTTTATGAATTAAAAGACATATTTGAACAAATTATCTGCGTTTTGGTCATCGATCTGCCAGCTTATAATCTGATATCTGAACACAGTTTGTCTGTTTATTTGTGTCCAGACATGTTTGATATGAATATGAAATTATATCAAAGGTCTGAGCTGTGAAACCTTTAGAAGGGTGGTTGTTCGTTTACCCGTTAGCTTAATAAACCACGTCCATCATGCTCAGTAAAAACAAAACTACCACACTTTAATGACTAACCGAGGCTCACAGGATCTAAACTAGAATATGATAATAGGTATTAGATCAGATTAAAGCAGATTATTGTCAGTTCAGAAATGAGAGAACGTCCCCACTAAGAGCAGAATCCCTGAAACACGGCTGGAGATCTGTGATAACTTCATTATTAGGCTCTAATGTTTGCTTCACTGCTCCAACACACCTGATTTAACTAAACTTCTAAACAGAAGGTCGTGACGCTCTGCAGAGCTAGGTAATCACCTACTGATTATGAAAGGCCTGGAGGACCAGAGCTGAACACGACGGCCCAGTCCCAATACTCACACTTCCTCCCGTGCACCTTCCCATCCAGGGGTGTGAGAGCCTAGGGTGTCCTGATTCTCAAGTGTGAAGTTGACCACACGCCCTTTGCACTCTTGGGCCCAGTCCCAAAACTCGGCCTTCAGCAAAGTGCACTTGGAGGAAGTGTGCCGTAACGCTTCGAGTGCACAGGTGTGCAAATAATTGCCAAATTGAGACAGGGAGCATCGTGTCATCGGACCGGGATGCCGGTTACTTTGCTACTAAAAAAAACTTTACTAACAACTTTCAAACAAACAACCAAATGATTATTTGAAATGAATTTGCACCTTTTGCTGCTTTGTCTAAATGTTTTAGAGCATCAGCTAATCATCCTAAAATGAACTACTTTCATTAGAAAATACGTGTTTTTTTTGTTTTGTTTATTTCATTCAAAATAAAAACAAATAAAGCAAAGTGGATCGAGGGTGCAAAAGGGACACGATCAACTTCTGCATTTGAGAATCGGGACACCCTACACGCTCACACCCCTGGTCGAGATCGCGTAATTGAAGGGTGCAAATGTGGAAGTGTGAGTATTGGGATTGGGCCTAGCTCTGCATCGATGCAGACTTCAGCAAAGGTTATCACCCGCAATCCACTGCTGGGAATCTTAAAGAGCAAGTCACCCCCAAATAAACTTTTTTTTGCTGATAAACTAAATAAACGAGTGTCTAATCGTGCTGCAGACACGTGTCGTCAATAATTTGGCACTTCAGTGCATCTTAGTTAAAATTTAAATATTCTGCCTAAAACTGTCAGTGTTGTGCCGTTGTCAAGTAAAAGCTCTGCACTGTATTCTAATTTAAATCTGCCACCGCTATTGGCTAAGAGGTATGCTATGATGTAAACTGGTACGTTATGATGTCACAATGCCTGTGTGTTTGTGTATTCGTTAGCAGCTCCGCCCTCTCGGTCTGCCAGGCAACACCATTTGTTGCATTTTTCAAACATGAAGTGGGAGTGGAGTTAAAATCTGGTACGGGTTGACTTGCTCTTTAAGGAGACTGGCTCAAGTGTCCTTTCTGAAGGTCCGCATTTTCAACAATAATTATTGAAATATTGAGTATGTGATGGTCACAACCACATGTTTCTCTGTTGGAAAGTGGTGAAATATATCGTTAACTGATGCTGGAGTTTATTTTGGGGCATGACATGCCAGAATTTAATCACTTGTTTTAATTTTATTTATATTACAGACTGCTGAGTCAACAATTTTATGTTGTGTTTAAAAATATTTTTCATTTGATCAGGAAAAAAACATTTGGAATGTTTATGGAAAATCGAATCTTCAATATTATACACATTTTTTAATCATTTCCTCTTTTGCCCAAAAAGAAAAAAGTTCCTTTTAAGACGACTAATATTTCTCCGTGCTCTGGATGTTGGGACTAAGGTTTAACGTAGACAACGATTAATGCTAACTCTGTCAAACAAGTGTTTGTTTGAAGTTGTTAATAAAGATTTTTTTTAAGTAGCACAAACAGCAACGCTGGCATCCCCGCGTGCGCCTCCTCAGGGCTGGACCTGCATTTAAAGAGCAAGTCACCCCCTATCTGAGTCTAACTCCACTCCCACTTCATGTTTGAAAAATGCAATAAATGCTGTTGCCTGGCAGACCGAGAGGGCGGAGCTGCTAACAAATACACACACATACAGGCTCACCATGTGACATCACAATGTACCAGTTTACATCATAGCAAACCTCTTAGCCAATAGCGGTGGCAGATTTAAATTCAAATATAGTGCAGAGTTTTTTACCTAACAACGGCACAACACTGCAAGTTTTAGGCAGAATATTAAAATTTTAACTAAGATGCACTGAAGTGCCAAATTATTGACGACACGTGTCTGCAGCACGATTAGACACTTGTTTATTTAGTTTATCAGCAAAAAAAAAAGTTTATTTGGGGGTGACTTGCTCTTTAAAGAAAATTTTGTCCCTAATTAACTTTAACGGAGACTTTAGAAGTTTCCATAAATCATATTTTGTGTTTAAAATATTCTGCTGGTAATTGTGAAAACTTTAGTGCAGGTTTGAACCGAAGTTAGCAAACTAAAGCTGATCCAAACATTCTAGCAGCATCGCCCTTTAGCCAACCTGGATGCTAATTCCAACGTCGTTTACTTGGCCTGAGAAAAGCATCTGAATTTTAAAGCGACAGTAAACGGTCAGTTACGCTCTTTACACCCAGCTACACGTTCCAACAGCACGGTTACTAATATTAAAACTTCCGTACCGATTCTTTGCATCCTCGCTTCTGTCTTCATGGCGTCCAGCATTCTGCGCTGATGGAGGATCTGCTCTTCGGTGTGGATGATCGCGTTTTCACACTCAGCGAGTATGTCTGCACCAGCAGCAGCTAACCGCTGCCTGATTGACTCCCTCCAGTTCCCTAAATTAGCCATTATAAACTTAGCTTGGGCGACCGCTAGCTCCACGACTAGCTCTGCTTCCTGCTATTACTTCCGGTTGATGTCTTCTTCTTTGGTTAAATGTAGCGTTAAGGGTGTTTCTGCCCCCTGCCGGTTGAAACTCAAGCCTAACTTGTTCGGATGAAAATAACTCCGGTCACATACGCACAGATTATTTTTAAAGGAATTAAATTAGTTTGTGGCTAAATGTAAAACCAGAATAGCAGAAATAGAACAGAAAATTCCTTTATTGGGGAAGTTTTTGATGTAACAGCAGCAAAGCAGTTTAACAAAAATAAAGAATATAAAGGTTGTCCCGTGAATAATAAATACATATGTAAAAATATTAAGTATCTCAGACTGATTTGATTTGACATCTGAAAATACTGTAACGATAGCTGAATATTTACATGACATGATGAATGGAAAATGTGCACATGAGGTATGAGTGAGTTTACTTTTATGAAGCAGAAACACTTAAATCCAGGGTTCTAAATGTAATTTTGTCTTACTTTTAAAGTTTGAAGTGAGTGTTACTGTTTCTAGGCCTGTGTGTTTCACACATTTTGAGCTCAAACTATGCTGATACTGTTGCAGCCTCTGTCACGAGTTGCTTCAGGAGGAAGTTAGTACCCAAGGTGCAGAGAACCAGACGAACGAGGCAGAGGTGGAAGATGGAATAAAATCCTTTATTTAGGGATAATCCAAAAGGCAGTGAGCCAAAAACCAAAATATCCAAATGACTAAATGAGAGATCCAAAAACACTAGAAGCCAGAGACACTAGAAGCACTAGAGGCTAGGAACAGGCACGAGACGAGTCTGACAAGAACAATGAACCGAACAACACACTGAAACACAGACAGGGTTATATACACTGAGGATGAGAGGGAGATGAACTGCAGGTGTGTGTGGGGAGAGAGAGAGCAGGTGAACTCAATTACTAATCAGGGAGGAACTAACATGACCTAAGAATAAAACCTAAAGACAAGAAGAGCAGGAAACATAACTAATAATCTAAGGGGGGAAGAAAAATAAACAAACACCGGTGGGAAAAACACACTGCAGTGACTAATAACCAGAACAGCTGTAACTAAAGGAAAATGACCTAAGAGAAAAACTAAAGACCAGAAGGGCAGCAACAATAACTAATATTCTAAGGGGAAGCTGAAACTAAAGGAAAACACTACAGAAAGAAAAACTACAGGGGAATGACTAAATGGGGGCCAAGGGAGCACAGGACCTGGGAGGGGGATGCCTGAGGAGGGAAACCTAGAGAGCTGAAGATCTGGGGGCAAATGGGGAACACCAGGAGACACAAGAGGAAGACGCAGACAAGGACACATGAGGGCGCTAGGAGACACAAAAGGAGAACCTAGAGAGGGATGCAGAACACAAGGAGAAACATCAGGGGAGACGCAGACTCAGACCATGACAGCCACAATAAAAAGCCACTGTTAGGGTGAACACCAACCAACATCCAAGTAAAATATGTTTATGTACTTAGCAGACGCTTTTATCCAAAGCGACGTACAATTTATAACCTATAGGGCATGTTGTGATCTGTGGGGGAAACCGGAGTACCCGGAGGAAACCCACGCATGCATGGGGAGAACACGGAACTACACGCAGAAAGGCCGCAGCTGAGTTTTGAACCTGCGACCTTCGTGCTGCGAGGCAACAGTGCTAACCACTGCACCACCATGCAGATAAAAGTAGATAAAACAAAAGAACTGAACAAACTAAAGAGCTTGATTTTTTTTCTTCATTTCACTAAAAAAGTTGACACAATTCTAAAAACAATCCCTCAGGACTCATTAACCATCCTCTGCACTATAACTCCTTCTGTCAGCCACATTATGGAAGTGGTGCTCGCTGCAGAACCACAAAGGTGGAGCTGCACCAGAAGGTGGAGCTGCACCAGGGTCAGCCCCACCCATTCCAGAGTCAGCCCCGTCCATTCCATCAGAGTCAGTACAATTCCTTCCAGTTGTCAGACTTGATAGCATTCTGGAACCAAAGAGGGTTTTATAGCTAAAAAATACAAGATTGAGGACGGAGGTGAGAAGTTAACTGAACAGTTTTTGTAAAGGTTCTATATAATAAAAAATCTAACTTTTGGAACTTTTTATCATGTTATATTGTCATTTCCTCATAAGAAACACGCCAAAGCCATTTTTGGCCTCATTCATGCATTTTCCTCCCATCTCAGCTTCAATTTGGTCTCCTCCCCGAAGCGGGTCTGGTCTTGGTTCTCAAATCTGGATATTCTGTGAATTTTCTGACAAATTATTTCTGAAATGACTTCTACTGAGACACCGCCAATAAACCATACATCCCATCTCCAAAGACACACTGGATAGGACAATTACATGTAACACCACTTACTTCATATCAGATGTGGTGGGGTACAGGCTATGGAGGCAGGTTTGCATGTAGTTTTGCGCAGGTTCGACTCCCAGTGGCAGAAATCTTAGGTAGATTACAACCCCTTTTCTTAATTTCTAGCTACACTTGCCAGTACTATGTTTACAACAATTTACTGGTATACCGTTTACAATATAATGACTAATGTGTTTATTTATTTATTCGTTTATTTAGCCAGTGTGAGTCCATTTGTGAGCAGAGTTTCAACTAAAATGCTGTTTAGGAACGACCAAATTCAAAGAACTTTTAGAGACATAAATATTTTGCTGAAAATGAACATTACAACTAAAATATAAACAAATTCAATGTTTCAGCTGGCTAAATAGATTGATGCCGACCCCACCGAGAATCGAACCAGAATAAGCTGAGGGGGAAGCAAAGTTTGCTTCAGATGATCTTACCACTGGACTACCAAACACATATGACAGTTTCTCATGCTGTTGCACCACATTATTGTTAGAGCGGCTGTGGGCAGATATCTGCTAAAAGAAATCGTTTCATTTCAAGATGTATTCAGGCTTTGTCATGTAGCAAGTTATATTTATCTTGTTTAATTGGAGCATAGAACATAGCATTAACATTTGTAAAGTAGTAACAGCCATAATTCATGTGGGTCAGGTTAGTTTGCGATGAAGTTGGAAAACAAAAACGGAAGTCAGTGGGCTAGGCTGAGTTAGCGTGAATGGGCGGGGCTGACCCTGGTGCAGCTCCACCTTATGGTGCAGCTCCGCCTTTGTGGTTCTGCAGCGAGCACCCTCTCCAGCGAGCACCCTCTCACATTATTAGGTACACCAGTTGCATGTTTTTGGTCTGTGGGAGGAATCTGGAGCACCTGGAGAAAACCACTGGCTTCTAACTCCACGCATGCATGGGGAGAACATGCCAACTTCATGCATAAAGGACACAGCCAGGATTTGAGCCAACTGTGCCACCATTCAGCCCACACTAGAAAACATTAAACTCAATATTTTAACGAAAAGAACAAAAATATCTTTTTTTGGACTAAAGCAACAATAACAATTTTTTATAACGCTTCTCAAGATAAAAATCACGAGGCGCTTCAAAAAACCAAAAAATTTTAAGATAAAAAAGATTTTTCCATCCATCCATTTTCATCCGCTTATCCGGAGTCGGGTCACGGGGGCAGTAGCCTGAGTCGAGCAGCCCAGACTTCCCTCTCCCCAGCCACTTGGGCCAGCTCCTCCAGGGGAATCCCAAGACGTTCCCTGGCCAGGTGAGAGACATGGTCCCTCCACCGTGTCTTGGATCTACCTTTAGGTCTCCTCCTGGTTGGACGTGCCCGGAAAACCTCACCAGGGAGGCGTCCAGGAGGCATCCTGACCAGATGCTCGAGCCATCTCAACTGGCTCCTCTTAAAGATTTTTTAAACTATTAATAAATTTCAAAACAATTAGATGTAGCGAGATGAAGGTTCTCTGATGTGTGGCAAAGGTCACGTTTGCCCAGCTGGGTCAAGCTGGGTCAAACAGTACTTTTTGAATCCACAGATTAGCCCAAGGAGCCACGATGTCTGCTCAAGATCATAACATCATATCTGCTATTCCGTCCCAAGAAGGACACTTCAAGCCACAATGATTATAATTAGATAATAATTAATAAATTCATTGATTTTATTACTGTTTAACATAATCATCATAACATGATCACTTGGCTCATTATAAAGGTTTTTTAATTACATGTAATGGATTATTATGCTTTGGGTATAATAATAATAATTATTATAATGATTAAAGATGTGTTTAGCAACAAGGTCAAGTTCACCCTATTCAGCTAACACAGAGTTCAGATAAACAATAACTGCATCAGATGTTTTTGAGGCATGGTCAAGCTTTCTTCCGGAGAGAGTGGGAGTGGTTCTGAGAGCTTTTAGTTAAACTGTAACTATCACAGATTCACGTTCAGTTCTGAAACCAAACACCATCCTGAGGAGCCAGGGACAGCCGCCCTGACCCTCTGCCTGCTGTTCTAGTCACGTCGACCAGAATAGCCAAAGAATAAACGAAACTGTCACCAGCTAACGAAGACTCTACCAGAGTCATTGATTTCTGAAGTTAAGTTCAAGACGAGAACGTTCATCTGCCAAACGCTACATCGAGTGACCCAAGAAGACATCTCAGGACTGATCTGGTCGTGCCAGAGGTTTTTCTACCAACCTCGTGCCTGGAGGAAACCCATCTCCACCTGGACACTTCGGATCCAAAACGGGGGTCTTCTGATTGGGTGAGGTAGACCTCGACAGAATGCGTTTGAGGCTGTTTCTCTCAAAATAACTCAGTTATCCGCAAAACATCATTTCCACCCAGAACGCTTTCATTCTGTCTGAAAGAAACCTTCTGAGAACTTCATTCACGCATCCAAAACTCATCATTCTCATTTTAGCTCCATTCAGTCACAGGTTTGTTTTTAAACAAGTTTAATATCAAAACTGTTAAAGATTGTCATTAAAATTGCCATCCATGAATTGTCATTTTATAATTGTCGTTTCAAATCTTCAGTTTAAAATTGTTAGTAATAAATTTCTTCACTTTTAAACTTGCCTCATTATTGAAACGAAACACAGAAAAGGGTCGCATTTCCATTTATCGAATGAAAAGAATCTTACTGAATCTTCTGTTTAATAAATAAACTTTGCTATTAAT